GGTGCGTGTCGGGGGTGAGGAGAGAGAGGTGACCGTGGGGGGCCTGGAGCCCGGGCGCAAGTACAAGATGCACCTGTACGGCCTCCACGAGGGGCGGCGCGTGGGCCCCGCGTCCACCGTGGGCGTGACAGGTGAGTGGGAGACAGGCCCACACCGCTGGGCTTTCCTCTTTGCTCTTTTGTCTTTCTCCTTTGGATGTTGGCAGCTCTCCTGCCGGGGCCTCCAGGTGCCTCTCTTCTCCCAAATGTTGCTGTGATCCTGCCTCATCCTTGAATTGAGTGAGGATTGAAGGAGACTTTGTTCAGAGTCAGAAGAGCATGTCTGTGCCCCAGTCATTGTAGCTTCCTTTGCCTCGCGTCATCCAGAACCTCCAAGTCGCTCAGTTGTTCACTTGCCGAATTCTCGGGCTCTTGGGGGTATTTTAGCAGCGCAGAGTGTGTTCCAGGGCAGGCTGCCGGGATCTGAAGCTGCCTTGACATGTAGTCACTGTGTGATTTGCAAGCGTTTCTTAACCTCTCTGTGCCTCAGATCCCTGCAAAATGGGGGTGATAATAATCACAGCACCTTGCTCCTATGTCGTGGTGGGCTGCCGGCGGCAGTGCCAGCGCGGTGAGCGCTTCAGGAGAGGGTGCTAAGCAGCGTCCTTTCCGCAGCCTGGAGAGCACGCCTCCCCGGGGCCAGCTCCTGCCTCCTGACCCTGTCCCTGCTGCTATTTTCCAGCCGCCCTCCCCACGCGGCCCCCCGTGGAGCCCCGCTTGGGGGAGCTGGCAGTGGCGGAGGTGACCTCGGACAGCGTGCGCCTGTGGTGGACGGTGGCCCAGGGCCCCTTCGACTCCTTCGTGGTGCAGTACAGGGATGCGCAGGGGCAGCCGCAGGCAGTGCCCGTGAGCAGAGACCTCCGCGAGGTCACCATCTTGGGGCTGGACCCGGCCCGCAAGTACAAGTTCCTGCTCTTCGGACTGCAGGATGGGAAACGCCACGGCCCGGTCCCTGTGGAGGCGAAGACGGGTGAGCGGGGCCCTGGGAGCCCCTTGCCGGCCCGCGCCCCCTTGTGGCGACAGTTGGACGTTCACGTTTCCGAGCCCCGCCCTCCGGCCTCAGGACCCGTTTACTTACTGGGTCGCCTGAAACCCAGGCCCTCAGCTCCCCTTCCCCCTCACTCCCATCCTTCTCCCTACGCTCCCACGCCCCAGGGGACACTTGCTTTCTTGCCTGGCTCCTCCTTCATCCCGACTCCTGGCCCAGTCACCCCTCCTGCTCCCTGGACCAGCTTGCAGAACCACAGCAGCCCAGGAAGCCCAGTGGTCCCTCTGCTCCATCACTGTCTCACCCTCTGTGCACCTCACTTCCTTTTCCAGCCCCAGACACAAAGCCCTCTCCCCGCCTGGGGGAGCTGGCAGTGGCGGACGTGACCCCTGACTCCGTGGACCTCTCCTGGACGGTCCCTGCGGGTGAATTCGACTCCTTTGTGGTCCAGTACAAGGACAGGGACGGGCAGCCCCAGGTGGTGCCGGTGGCCGCAGACCAGCGGGAGGTCACCGTCCCCGGCCTGGAGCCCTCCCGCAAGTACAAGTTCCTGCTGTATGGCCTGGCAGGCCGCAAGCGGCTGGGCCCTTCCTCTGCCGAGGCCACCACGGGTGAGCCCCGGCCCTGCCTCCCGCCTTTTCCAGAGCTGCCTCTTACCTGAGCCCCCCGGCTGGCCCTTTGGCCTTCCCGTGAGATTGATCCCGTCTGCAGCCCTGGCACAAGTCTCAGAACAGCAGAAGCCAGGCCCTGCTGTGTGCAAGGCAGTTCTGAGCATTTTATGTGCACTGTCTCCTTCACCGGCTGACTGCCCAGGAAGGAAACAGAACCCGGGCTTCGGGGCCAAGCAGACCTGTATTCACATCCAGTGCCAGCCCTTGCTGGCTGTGCGACCGAGGACAAGCCACTCCGTTCCCCTGACCCTCGGCCGCCTCACCTGCATAATGGTCATGAATCATGGCCACTGGCACGCAACTGTGGTTCCCATCCCCTCCCTCTATCCCCGCTTGAGGCAAGAGGTGGAAAATAAGGAGGCCTTGGCTACAGAAAGACGATGGAAAAACCTGGTGGTGTGGTGCCCGTGACTCAGCCCCCCAAGGAACGGGTGTGGCAGGTCGCTGACCCTTACCCTGCTCCCAGGACCATGAGTCATCCTGGCCAGGGGAGGACAGAGCAGCCAGCCAGTCAGACCCTGGGGCCCTCAGACTCCATAATTCTCTTCCCCAAACCCTCACTGAGGAGACAGGGTGCAGGCCGCCTGCCGCACCCACCGCCGCCTGTGCCAGCCTCTGCTCCACTGCCCACGTGCCAGCCAGCTCCCCGGACCAGCCCTCACAGCCCAGATGCCTCCTGGGGGCCTCTCAGCTGTGGCCACGTGCTTGCTCAGGGGCTGGGGTCAGGGGAAGCTGAGCTCCTCTCTGCACCAGGCCACCCCTCTCTCGGGGTGTGATCATTTACGTGTTCACCGCACCCTTGGTCTGAGTGGGAGCAGCAGGGACAGAAAGGAGCTGGCAGTGGCCTCCTGAGGAGATGGAGCTGCTCTCCCTCCTTCCTGAGGGGCAGGACCAGAGAGGCCTGTCTCCTCGGGGGCTGTCCCTGAGGCCACACTTCAGGGACCCTTTCCCAGCACTCGGGCCTCCCAGAAGTTGCCAGTGCTGAGAGGAAGGCAGCCTTTGACTAAGAGTCTCCCCTACCCTCTCCACAGCTCCCCGGGAGGAGGAGCCGCAGCCCCCTCCCCGCCTGGGGGAACTGACAGTGGATGAGGAGACCTCAGACTCCCTGCGCCTGTTGTGGACGGTGGCCCAGGGCCCCTTCGACTCCTTCGTGGTCCAGTACAGGGACAAAAACGGGCAGCCCCAGGTGGTGCCTGTGGCCGCAGACCAGCGCAAGGTCACCATAGGGGACCTGGAGCCTGGCAGGAAATACAAGTTCCTGCTCTATGGGCTCCTCAGAGGAAAGCGCCTGGGCCCCGTGTCGGTCCTGGGAATGACAGGTGAGACTGTCCTGCTCAGCTCCAGTGAGCTGGCCTGAGTGGCTTTCCTTGTGCCTGTGGACAGAGGACAAAAGGACTGGCAGGAGTGGCCGGGGCGATGGGGGCCCTGGCCAGGGCCCAGGAGGGAGGAAGAGCTTGAGTTTGCAGCCCTCGGCTCTGACCTGGGTCAGGGAGTCAAGGCAGGGGCCAGGACAGGTCTGCCAACCCCTACTCTCTGCTCCATGCCTGCCAGCGGCCACCATTACTCGCTAGGGCGGCTACTGCCTCCCAGCAGGGTGGCCTTGCCCAGATGGGGGCAAACGGCCCTGCCATGGATGAGTCAGGAGCATTTTCTCAAGTGGAAAATCACTGGAAAACACAATGGGCGGGAGACACAGAAACCAGGAGAAGTGACTGCATTTATGGTACAGGTTCCTCTTCCGGGGCTGCTGACGCCCACCTCAGACCGGCCCGACCAGGGCATGTGGGCCTGGCTGGTGTGATTTGCCTGTCACGTTAACCCGCCAGTTCTTTTCTCAGAAGGGAGCACCGGTGTCCGAGCTCAGCGGATGCATCCCAGGTGGAGGGCGGGGCAGGGCCTGTGCTGACATCTAGAGGTAGGGCTCAGTGGGACACGGGTGCAGAAGGGGAAAGCAAGTGCCTGACTCAGACAGCGCGGGAGCCCACGAAGGAGCAGTGCAGCAGCTGCGCGGGAGACAGGCCGCAGCGTGGGGCTCAGAGGCCCCGGGGTGCAGGAGTCAATGCCAAGACTCAGGAGAGGGAAGATACTAGAAGACCGTAGGTCCCTTCTGTCTCTCCAAATGGCTGCCATGGCCAGGACCTGTAGAGTCCCACCTCAGCCTTGGGGCAATCCCACAACCCCCTCTTTGGGGAGCAAGATGGAAAGGGAGCCGGGCATGGTGGTACATGCTTGGGTCCCAGTGACACAGGTGGTGGAGGCTTGAGCTCAGGAGTCCAGCCTGGGCAACATACCATTTCTGAAACATTAAAAAAAAAAAAAGCCAGGCATGGTGGCACACATCTGTAGTCCCAGCTACTTGGGAGGCAAAGGCGGGAGAATCACTAGAGGCCAGGGGTTCAAGACCAGCTTGGGCAACATAGCAAGACCCTGTTTATACAAAAAAACAAAGAAAAGGTAGAAAGAGAAGGGCTCCAAGGCACCACGCGCCTCAGCTTCTCCCCTGGCCTTCTCCCATGTAGCCCCAGAAGAGGACACACCAGCGCCAGAGACCCCCGAACCCCCTGAAGAGCCCCGCCTAGGGGTGCTGGCGGTGACCGACACAGCCCCAGACTCTATACGTCTCTCGTGGAATGTGGCACGGGGCCCCTTTGATTCCTTCGTGGTCCAGTATGAGGACACAGACGGGCAGCCCCAGGCCTTGCTCGTGGATGGTGACCAGAGCAAGGTCCTCATCTCAGGCCTGGAGCCCAGCACCCCCTACAAGTTCTTCCTCTATGGCCTCCGCGAAGGGAAGCGCCTGGGGCCCGTCTCCACCGAGGGCACGACAGGTACCACCAGGCCTTGCTGGCCACTAGTCTGGGGCTGGGGTTGCCCAGAAGTGGTGGCGATAGGGAAAGAGTGGGTACCAAGGAGGGAGGCAGGTGGACTGCATCTGAGCAGCCCTTGGCTCTACTCCGGCAGATCCTCTACCTGTGGCTGCGAGTGCCTCACTCGTTCCATTCCACACATGGAGAAATAGAGGCCAGGGTGGGCAGCAGAAGGGACCCACACTAGGTCACCGAGCTGGTGTGCTTCTGTCTCCAAACCCTTCTGTGCAGGGCCGGCTCCTGCTGGTCAGATCCCAGGGGAGCCAGGGCCCCGCCTGTCCCAGCTGTCGGTGACTGATGTGACCACCAGTTCTCTGAGGCTCAACTGGGAGGCCCCACCCGAGGCCTTCGACTCCTTCCTCCTCCGCTTTGGGGTCCCATCACCCAGCACTCTGGAGCCGCATCCACGTCCTCTGCTGCAGCGGGAGCTGGTGGTGCCAGGGACACGGCGCTCGGCCGTGCTCCGGGACCTGCGTCCGGGGACCCTGTACAGCCTGACGCTGTACGGGCTGCGCGGGCCGCACAAGGCCGACAGCATCCAGGGCACCGCCCGCACCCTCAGCCCAGGTGAAGCCGCGCCGGCTCACACGCACTCTGCCCCGAAGTGGGTCTTGGTACTTCGCAGGGAGGGCCTTGGCGCCCAGCCAGAGGGGAGGCTGGTGATTGGGGGAGGGCTTTGAGGAACCTGCAAGCAAGCGGCTTCCACTCTTGGGGGCTGGAAGAGAGGAAGGGGGGTGAGCCTGCCTGGAGCAGGGCCCAGGGTGGGGCTCCCGCGGTAAGAATCTCCCTACCACTGCCCTCACCATTGTTCCTCCCTCCAGTTCTGGAAAGCCCCCGAGATCTCCAGTTCAGCGAAATTGGGGAGACCTCGGCCAAGGTCAGCTGGATGCCCCCATCATCCAGGGTGGACAGCTTCAAAGTCTCTTATCAGCTGGCGGATGGAGGTGACACCTTTTTGCCCATGCCCTCATTTGCCTGCATTTCTCCTGCCCCCTGCACTCTGCCCACCCTCCAGCTGCTGTGGGGTTCCCTGGGTAACCCAACCCCCAACGTGTTTTCAGGGGAGCCACAGAGCGTGCAGGTGGATGGCCGGGCCCGGACCCAGACACTCCAGGGGCTGATCCCAGGTGCTCGCTACGAGGTGACTGTGGTCTCAGTCCGCGGCTTTGAGGAGAGTGAGCCTCTCACAGGCTTCCTCACCACGGGTGAGATGGACTGGGGCCTGGGCAAGGGGTGGGGGTGAGAGGGAATGGGGAGGCCAGTGGAGCTGGGGGAGGTAAGGGGTAGGAGAGTGCGAGGACACCTGAGGCCCTGCCCTTCTCCCAGTTCCTGACGGCCCCACCCAGCTGCGTGCACTGAACTTGACCGAGGATTCCGCCTTGCTGCACTGGAAACCCCCCCAGAATCCTGTGGACACATATGACGTCCGGGTTACAGCCCCCGGGGGTGAGCAGGGCTGAGGCCTGAAGGGGACTCAGTGGTTGAGGGTGGGGAGAGCGGGGGCAGGACATGTAGGGGACAGGCAATGACATCCACCTGCACTCCCAGCCCCATCTCTGCAGGGCTCAGCCCCGGGCAGCGCGGAGGACTACCCCCTGCACCGCCTCGTGCTCCACACCAACTACACGGCGACCGTGCAGGGCCTTCGGGGCCCCAACCTCACCTCCCCGGCCAGCATTACCTTCACCACGGGTACGCCTGTGGGATGTGGGGGGTGAGGGTGGAGGGAACCAGGATGGCCTCATCCCCATCTCCTCTTCCCACTTTCCCTCCCAGGGCTGGAGGCCCCCCAGGACTTGGAGGCCAAGGAAGTGACCCCCCGCACGGCCCTGCTCACTTGGACTGAGCCCCCAGTCCCGCCCACAGGCTACCTGCTCAGCTTTGACACGCCCGGTGGACAGACCCAGGTGCCCGGCTCCTGCCCCGCTGACCAACTCCCTCCTGGGCTGATCCCAGGAGGTGCTGCCTGTGGCTCTCCCAGTGGGTGGGTCTCCACCCCCCTCTCCCCTGACCTGCCCCTTGTCTGTCCCACAGGAGATCCTGCTCCCCAGAGGGGTCACCTCTCACCGGCTCCTAGGCCTCTTTCCCTCCACCCCCTACAGCGCACGGCTCCGGGCCATGTGGGGCGAGAGCCTCACGCCGCCTGTGTCCACCTCCTTCACCACGGGTACCTGGACGCTGGGGCCTGAGGTCGGGGGCTGGGTGGCCGCAGGGGCCTAAGGTTTGGATAAAGGACCGGCCCGACACTCTCTTCTCCCCAGGCGCACTGCGGATCCCCTTCCCCAGGGACTGTGGGGAGGAGATGCAGAACGGGGCCAGCACCTCGAGGACCACCACCATCTTCCTCAACGGCAACCGCGAGCGGCCCCTGAACGTGTTTTGTGACTTGGAGACTGATGGGGGCGGCTGGCTGGTGGGTGGCATCGGAAAGCCCGGGGTCTGTGCAGGGCAGGGGCTGCTGCTCCAGGAGGCAGAGGCTGATGGTGCCTCCACCTGCTCCCCAGGTGTTCCAGCGCCGCATGGACGGACAGACGGACTTCTGGAGGGACTGGGAGGAGTATGCCCATGGTTTTGGGAACATCTCTGGGGAGTTCTGGCTGGGTCAGTGCCTCACAGGGACTGGGGAACTAGGGAGGGGTCGGGCCCTGTGGACAGCAGGGCCCTGATGAGGGCACACCCCCACCCCCAGGCAATGAGGCCCTGCACAGCCTGACAAAGGCGGGAGACTACTCCATGCGTGTGGACCTGCGGGCGGGGGACGAGGCCGTGTTCGCGCAGTACGACTCCTTCCGAGTGGACTCGGCTGCTGAGTACTACCGCCTCCACCTGGAGGGCTACCATGGCACCGCGGGTAAGGGCGGGCTGCAGGGGCCGGGAGGGTGGGCCAGAGGGGAGGCCCTCATCGCTCCTGCCTCTGCCCTTCCCAGGGGACTCCATGAGCTACCACAGCGGCAGTGTCTTTTCTGCCCGTGACCGAGACCCCAACAACTTGCTCATCTCCTGCGCTGTCTCCTACCGAGGGGCCTGGTGGTACAGGAACTGCCACTATGCCAACCTCAACGGGCTCTACGGGAGCACAGTGGACCACCAGGTGAGGGTGGTAGGCACACGGAGCCGGGGTGCCCTGTGGTGCGATGGGACATGGGACTGAGCAGCCCGGAGCCTCAGGCTCCTTATCTGTGAAGTGGAATAATAACGCCGACCTCGCAGTTATCTCGAGAGGATTTATTGGCTGGAAGGGCCGGCTCAGGATCAAGCCCCAGTCCTTGGTGACTGAGGGTTAGGAAGGCAGCGAGGAGGGAGGTTGCTCGAGTGCTGGGAACCGCCTTCGAGAGGGGCAGCATGGGGCAGATAGAACGTTGGCTTTGACGCTTGGCAACCCCTTTCCCAGGGAGTGAGCTGGTACTCCTGGAAGGGCTTTGAGTTCTCGGTGCCCTTCACGGAAATGAAGCTGAGACCAAGAAGCTTTCGGTCCCCAGCGGGAGGAGGCTGAGCTGGTGCCCGCCTCTCTCGCGCCCCAGTATGACTGTCGAGCACTGAGGGGTCGCCCGAGAGAAGAGCCAGGGTCCGCCTTCACCACCCGGCCACTGGAGGGAGCCTTCTCTGCCAGCGATCTCACAGCACCATGTTTACAGGGGGGAGGGGAGGGTTTTGTATGGGAGCAATAAAGGAGAAACTGAGGCACGTGGCTGGCACTCGTCCTGCCTGGTCACTGGCACTTGCCCAAGTTGGGGCTGCCCATCCCCCGGGGCTGCAGCCGCACCTGAAAAGGCGGAATCTCCAGGTTGGTGCTGAAGTGGGGCTGGGGCTGCAGGGAGGGCAGGGCGCCCTCAGGCGGCAGCAGCGTGAAGGCCTGCAGCAGTCGGGCCAGCACCACAAAGAGCTCCAGGCGCGCCAGCGGCTCTCCCAGGCACAGGCGGGCCCCGCACCCGAATACCAGTGTTCTGGGGCTCTTGCCCGGCTGCAGGAAGCGGTCTGTGGGCAAGTGGACAGACAGGGTCGGGGGGCGTTCAGTGGCCCCCTGAACCGGCCTCCACCACCTCCGCACACAGGCATCCAGCCCCCCACATACCCGGCCAGAACTCGTGTGCCCGCTCCCAGACTGCATCGTCGAGGTGGGCGCCTTGGAGGTTGGGGATGACAACTGTGCCCTCAGGGATGTCATAGCCGAAGATGCTGAAGGAGGGTGGAGTTAGGCGCTGGCCGAGACCTCGCTGGGCTCAGGCCTTCCTCGCCCATCCCTCGGGAGTCACCTGCTGGGCTGCGTGGTGCGGTGGGGCAAGGCCAAGGGCACAACGGGCCGCAGGCGCAGCACCTCGGCAATGGTGGCGTTGAGCAAGAGCAGCCGCTCGCGGTCCTTGTAGGAGACCCAGGAGCCAGAGGCTTTGGAGCCCACTTCGAGGTCTAGCTCCTCCTGCAGTCGCCGCTGAATCTGGGAAGTGGGGACATCCAGGGTCCGAGCCCTACCCGAGCCAGCCCACAGCTGCCCAGCCTCCAGCCACTCCCCAGCAATCCAGTGGAGCCTTTGTGCCAATTAGGAGAGGGTGGCACCTCTGGGCAAGCACAGTCTGACTCAGAGCCGAGCAAGCTGGGTCCCCCCACCCAGGCTTCCAGGAAGGAGTTTTGCCTGCCCCAGGGCACACCTCAGGGTGGTGAAGCAAGAAAGCCACGGCCCAGGAGAGGGTGGTCGCCGTGGTCTCAGTGCCACCTATGAGAAGGTCCACCACAGACGTGTGCACGTGCCCTTCAAGGAGCTGTCCAGGGCTCTCTTCCACTCTGGGTAGTGCCACCTCTTGGAGCATGTAGTCTATCATGTCCCTCCACTGGCCTGCCACCAGGCTCTCCTGCGGAGGGTAGGAGGGATGGGCTGAGGGCTTGGCCTGGGGAGAGGGGTGTGGGATGGCAACAGGCCCAGAGCTCGGGAGGCAGGAGAACCTGTCTCGCAGCGATGCTGGGGCCAGTTGCATCACTGGCCCGAGGGGAGCCTGGGCCACATACAGTCCCCACCTTGTGCCACCTCAGCTGCTTCTCTACGAAGTGGTCCCTCTTCTTCATGGCCTGCTTCAGCCTCTGAAGACTTGGATTAGGGAAGAACTAGGGCGGGAAGCAAGAGATCATAGCTGCTGGGAACCCATTCCTCCACCCACCCCCTCTCCCAGGACCCAGGGTGCCCGGGCGCCACCTCCTCACCCTGAGAATGGGAATTAGGTTCACAATTTGGGTGGCCCAGTGGTCCCAGGCTGTCATCACCTCCTGAACACAGCCATGAAAGGTATGTAACAAGTTGTCCTCCTACCAGAAAAGGAGGAATGCTTTCAGTTCAGGAGAGGGTCGGGGAGGGGCTGAGGGTGGGCCTGAGGGGCTATGAGCGACCTTGATCTTGTCTCCGAAGATGAGGTAACAGATGATGCTGCAGGTGAGGAAAGAGAATTCCTTGTGGATGGCCACAGGGGTGCCAGCCTGTGCTCTCAGGCGCTGTGGGGAAGGAGCAGGAGCAGGAGCTGAGCGGGCAGGGCAGGGGCTGCCGGGAGAGGTGAGGCTGACCTGAGGTGGCCGTGGAAGCCCAGTCTCACCTCGAAGAACTCCTCGGTCAGCCGCTCCACCACGGGCTCCATGGAGTCGCGAATGCCCAGCAACAGGGCTGAGCGGGTGAGTTTCTTGTGGGCCTTCCAGAGCAGGGAGTAGTCCCCTAGGGACAGGTCCGGGTAGCCCTGAGACGCCAGCTTGTCTGCAGGAGGGGCAGGGGGTGGAGGGTGAACACGGACCAAGGAAGCCAGGGGTCTGACCATCTTCTGCCCCTCCCAGCCCCTGCTGCTCCCCCAGGAAAGGCCCCCAGCCCTTACAGGACAGCATCTGGGGTCTGCCAGCAAAGTCCACCCACTTTCTGACCATGGCTTCCTCAATGGTCCTCTTGGAGTTCAGCACCACCACTTCTGCGGGACAGCCAGTGCAGGGCGTCAGCAGGGAGAGGACCCTGCTGTCCTCCCACGGTGGGGCCGAGAGGGAGAAGACACTCACCTTGCAGCCCGAGGCGCAGCCTGTAGATAGGCCCGAATTTCTGGGTCAGGCTGAGCAGATAGATGGGGAGGTTGGGCCGCAGCAGGTGCAGGAAGCCCGGGGCAAGAGGCGGGAGGTGGAGGCTCCTGCGCTTCCACTGGCCCCACAGCAGGCAGGCACCGGCCAGCAGGGGCAGCAGCAGCAGCCCGAGGAGCAGCATGGCCAGACACCACACGAGGCCCCGACACGCGCTTATACCTCCGGAGCCCCTGTCGTCCATCCTGCTGCTCAGGCTATTTGGGGGGCCTCCCTCGACACCCACCCTCAGGTCCCTTCCCACCGTCCCGCCCACAGCGTGACACATTTCTGGAATGGCACCAGTCCCATTGGCCTTGGGGAGTCCACATTTCAAAAAACGGACTATCCATCAGGAAGGAAGAAAGAAAATGCAACCCTGACCTTTTCTCTGGCAGCCGGAATCATCTTTCTGGCTCCGCATCAGCTGTGTGGGCAGATGTGCCCACCCCTGCCTGGGCCTCCCCCTCTACCCCCCACCTGGGACCGGTTTGCTGGAGTGCAGTTTGTCTCTGAGAGAAAGGGCCGCCGCTGCCTGACACACACTCCAGGACCGCCTGAAGAACAAAACACAGAGGAAGGGACCTGCACAGGGTTTCTGTTTGTTCGTTTTTAACTGACAGGTAGCGTGACCACATGGCCTGGCTTACCTGGGGCCTTCCAGTACACACCTGTAGTTCCAGGGTAACTCTCGATGGTGTCCCTTTCACTCGCACATGTGTCCAGAAGACCAAGAAATATATGGTCTCCCGTCTGGAGCACTTACTATGTTACCAGGCACTGTTCTAATGCTTTGCCTGCTCTAACTCGACCCTTCGCAACCGTGCTCCATGTGCAACACTAGTCTCATCCCCGCTTCATGGATGAAGAAACGGAGGCAAGAGTGGCTCGCCCAAGAGCACAGCTAGAAAACGGCAGATGCAGGATTCCAGCCCAGCAATCTGGCTGCAGAATCTATACCTTTAGTCAGTAGGGGCACCTCTCTTTGGTTGCAAGGACAAGAGACCAACTTGAGCTGGTTTGAGGTAAAAATAGGAATGTTTATGCAAATACAGGGGTATTTCACAGAACTCAGGAACAGGAAAGCAGGGGAGAGGACTCACTGGGCTTAGAAGGCCAGGGATGGGGAACAGAAAAAGCCCTGGAGATGGGCAGCCTCCTCTCTGTGCTCCTCACTTCTCCGTCTGCTTTCACATCCTCTCTGCAGTCAAGTTCCTTGCGCTTCCAGGCGCAGGCAGAACAGAACTGCCTCCCGGACCAGAGTCCAGCCTGGGGACAGTGTATGTTCCCAGCACAACTGGGCATGGCCCCATCAATTCCAAAGTCCCCAGGAAGGAGCTTGATTGCCACGGCTAGGTCAGGATTAGGGGGCCAACCCTATTTTGGAAGCCATAGCCATAGGGGGTGGGGTCCCACTGGAGCAAGTGGCTATCAGAGACCACTTTTGTGGGTAAGGACACAGTTGAGGGGCTTGGGGAGAGGTGCCAAAGACAGGTGGCAGGGCTCAGTGAGAAGCCAGGGCTGCCCAGACGTTGGAGGGGGCCCAAGGCCCATGCTGTCCCCCAGTTCCCCATCCCTGGCTCTGTAAACAGACCCAGTGCCCAGGAGGGGGCCCTGTCCCCTCAGAGCTTTACCCAGAGCACAGGATGTGCTGCTGGAGAGCCCACGTCAAGATCCTGGCCGTGCCACCCGCTAGATTGATGAGTTCACTCCTGAGGTCCTGGTGGAAGAGGCTCAGCTCAGCCCGGATACACACGTGGGACTGGGAGGGAGAAAACAGGGTTGGGATTTCTGGGGTTGGGCTAGCTGTCACCTTCTTTGTGGTAGACCTCCCAGACCATGTCTTGCCACAGCTGCAACTGAATCCCCGGCTCTGGCAAATGGGTTTATGTCACCACCATGCCGACTGGCTTTTGGGACAAAGATCTGCCGGGCAACCACAGGGCCATGCAGGCAAGAGCCCTGGGAAACCTCTGAAATACTGAGAAAGGCCAGAACTTCTCAAAGTTGCACGGAGTAAGAGAGAGCTCAGTGTGAAAGGAGAGTGGCCTGGAAGGTTGGCGTGCTTGTGGCTGTCCCTTCATAAGTCGACTCCACTTATCTGGCCACACCCATCGCCCGCAGCCCACTACCAAATCCGAGTTCCAAACACGATGAATTACGTGCAGTGCCCCAAATGTGCTGTCCTGCCCCTGGCCTCTGGGCCTTGTATATTCTCCTTCTGCCTCAAATGCCTTCATCTACCCCCACTTCTTGCCTCTTTCTCAGCCTTCAGAACCCCAGGTTAGATGCCACCTCCTCCAGGAAGCCTTCCCCACCCCTTCTGGCACCGCCCCTGACTGGGACAGAGGCCCCACAGAGCCAGGCAGCTCTCGGACGCCATGCCTTTCACAGAGGACAGGGACTGCTTGTCCTCACCTCTCCCGATGGCAAGCCCCTGGAGCCAGGTGACAGCTGTAGCTCTGGCCCCCAGCACAGGGCATGGCATGGAGTGAGGTGAATTTCTCTCATTTCTCAACATGAATTTCTGTTGAATGATTGAATGGCAGGCTGCTGAACTGTCATGGTTTCCATCAAAACTAATCTCAGTTAACTTCTTTGGACGATTTCTAGGTCACCCCTGCAGACCCCAGAGGTGCCACCAAATGGGGGAAGTGAGGCTGGCACAGTGGTGAGGGTAGATCCCAGTAGAACAACAGCTTCCTCGGTGTATTAACAAAGTTAGACTTTTGGCTTGTTTAAAATCAGCACTTGGATGAAGACATCACCAGTCCTAAGGATCGCACAACTCTGGGAAAGTACCTAATGCCATCGATAACAGGGTCAAGTGTCAGCTGACCAGGATTCAGTGCCAGTTGCGTGAGGACAGAGTAGGGGACATGTGGCTGGGTGGCAGCTCCTAAGGCAGAAGAGCTGCCAGCTGAGCACAAGCCCTGCCTGAGGCCATGGTGACTGGCGACAACCGGGCAACGGAGGGCCTTGGAAGCACACTTCAGGGAGGCCTCAGTGTACACTGTGGTCCTCAGGGCACAGGCTGCTGGGTCCAGTTCTGCTCAAGGTAGTCCATGGACTAGCTCCTAGGGGGGCACTCAGGGCGTTCAGGCGGAAGTGGGCAGCCTGAGCTCATCCAGGCTCTGAGGGTCCAAGAGGGAGCAAACCCGGCCTGGCCCCCCGAACCTGGGTCGGGCAGTGGGGCACTGCTCAGTCCTAGAGACACACGCCGACACTGCTGCCAAAGGCCTTTATTATGACTCGGACCTGTCCCACGGCTGCGTGCAGGGGACCAGGCCCCTCCTGGGAGAGGCAGGAGGCAGCCTCACACCTGGCAGCCCTGAGTGCGGTACTCCTGGAGGAAGTCTCTGAGCTGCGCACAGGCTGCCCGCTGGCGGGTGGTCTGGCACAGGCGCTCGGAGGGCATCTCCTCTATCCAGCTATTGGAGTCCAGCAGGTACTGGGGGCTGCAGGGGCAAAGGGGCCATCAGCAGGGGTCAGGACGACGGCAGGCGGAGCAGAGGGCAGCAGGACCTAGCTTCTGAGGGGTGGGGCCCAGGCACCAGGGATTTGTTCCCTCGGGAAGGTGATGAGGCGACCAGAACACTCACTCTCCCTTGAGGTCCTGGGTGGCCCCATCCAGACCCATGATCAGATATTCTTTCCCAGGCTCCAAGCGCAGGCGGCAAGAGGCTCGCACCAGGAAGTTGCGGGTCTGATCAGCAGTGGCCTTGACATCCTTGGCTGAGGAGATAACGTGCACCAGAGTCGTCAGGGGGAGGCGGTGCACGGTGGCACAGGGCCAGGGCTCTGCGCAACTCTCTTATTTAACCTTCGCCACCCCTACAAGAGGCGCTACCGCGTCCCTATTTATGGGCAGGCCTAGGGTGTTTGAGAGGCTGAGGGGATCTGCGCTCAGACTTGTCTGAATTTTCACAGTTCCAAGTGATCAGGCCCCAAACCCAGACCTCAGCCTCCCTGTCTGCCCCCAGCCCCGCCCTTCTCCGGTTCCCTTCATACTGAAGTGCAGGACTTGGGTGATCTTGGTCTCAAAGAGGCGGAAGGCAGCTCTGCTGTCTTCTCGGAGAACCTTAACCTGGAAGCCTAAGAGGGGTTAGGAGAAGAGGGGAAGGTTGAGAGGCCCAGAGGCTGAGAAGGCTGGAAGGCGGTGTCAGGCTGCCTGTGGCCTGAGAGGAACAGGCAGACCCGGGGAGACCGAAACAGCTGGTCCCGAGGGCGGGTCCTGACCGTACTCCACGCGGGGGTAGTAGCAGGCAAACTTCATCCTGTAACCATCCTCCTCCTGCAGCCCCCGCTCCAGGGTGCGACGCTGGCGAGGGCACTTCCCTGAAGTTGGGGGCCCAGGTAAGATAGTGCATAGGCCCCACCCGTCCAGTCTTCCCACTCCAGCCGCGGGCCCCAGTCTCACCCTCAGCACACTGGCAGATGTCAGCGGAGCACAGGGTAGACAGGAGTTTGCTCTTACGTGGTGCCCCATAAAACACGGAACATCTGTGCTCTGGGGAAGAGCAGAGAGGAGTTAAGGTGCAGGCTGCTCCTCTCTGCCTCCTCAGTCCCATGGAGCGCCAGGGCTCCCAGCCACCCTTCATTGCCCCAGTTCCTGATGTCCCGCAGGAGGGCACCTATCCCAAACCTCCCCTGAATGCCAGAGTGCTCACCGGGGTTGTAGTAGTCATACAGGGCTGCGCTGGCCGGCTGCACCAGCCCCACGGCCACCTCCTGCACAGCTCCGAAGCCCACGCACTCCCGGGAGGTGGGGACCTGGGACAGGGTGGGGAGGAGAGATAAGACCCACTCCCCGGGCCTGCCCGCTGCTGTGCTGATTTCCTTGGCCTGCTTCTGTTGGGTCTCATTGGTCTTATTGCCTGTGCCTTCACATTCTGTTACCTTCCTGTTGATAGAACTCTAAAAGCTGCTACCCAAGGTCCCTGATGACCTCACTGCCCAGATGGTGACCTTGTCCCAGCCTTCACTGCCCAGGTCCTCTGCAGAGTCTTGCATCACGAACACGCTCTCTGTGAAACTTCCCTAAGCTGAGGGCTAGCTTCTGGGCTGCCCCAGCTCTGACGTGATATTGCTCACATTCCCTTCTCCCTTCCCTTCCTCTGCGCTCCCTGTGGGGGTCTCAAGCACTCCCCGGCTCCCACCACACCCATCCAGGCTGACGGTTCCCAAACTGAGCTTTCAGCCCCATCCTTGCATTAGGATTTTGTCAGGACTTCCAAGTTCTCCAATACACTCTGCTGCCCCCCCCAAACCCATTCACCCAAAGACAGCCTTGTCTTTGTCATGGATACCATCGGGTCCCCCTTTATTTGCCATGACCTAACAGCAGGTTCCATCAGCTCCCATGACCCCCACACTCAGGTCCTAGGCCTGACTCCCATCTCACAGCCACACAGGCCCAGTCCAGCCCAGCGCCCTGCCAGGGTCGCTCAGAAGCTGGGCCAGTGCACTGTCAGCTCCCTGCCCAGGAATCTTCCTAGCTCCACAGCCTCCGTCGTGTGTCAACCCAGACTCCTCTGCCTGGCTTCTCTAGCTGATGGGGGCTGCCCCTCTGCAGGCCCTGGGCAGAGGCATCTTCCTAACCACAAACGCCTGGCTAATGCTGGCCACCATGCCTCTCTCGCATGTTCTCCCAGAGGTTACAGTTAATATTCGATAAATTTTTTGAGGGCCATCAAGGGTTGATAACTGTTTTAGCCAAGCAAGGCCACGGAAAGACAATCCAACTGCCATCTATGGCCACCATTACTCTGTAAAGGAAAATACACTTTAATATTTTAAAAAACTAGGACGCTCAACAGAAAAACAGGGGCAGCCCCTCAAGTTGAACAAAACTTGCTTTACAGAAGGCTCCCCTCTCAAACCCGGGGGTCCCTGCCCTGCTGACTGGCACTTGGAGCCCGCCTGTGCTTGCAGCAGGGGCCTCCTGGAGGTCTGCCCCTTGCTATACTGTGGCTCATGTGGCTCACACTCTTGTCATGTCCTCCTGCTCATATCACACGTTCTCAAGAGCACTGGCCGCTGACACAGCTGTCTCCTGAGAAACCTCACAACACTCGCTCAGCAAACCGGGTGCCACCGATCCCCTGCGCACATCGGCCCTCCCCACTCACTGAGTCAAAGTAGAGCAGGACGTGGGGACCCTCGGTCTCAAAGTGACTCACGTATCGGTCAGAGAGGGAGGTCAGCTGTGGGGAAGGGGAGACAGTCACAGGTTGGTGGCCCTGGGCCCTGCGCATGACAGGGCTCAGCCCCTGGGGAGGAGGCGGCTGTTGTGGGCAACTGCCCGCACCTTTTCCAGGTCAGCCTGCAGGGCATGGAATCCACTCAGGAGGGTGATGTCCGCGATGGCCATGCCAGACAGCCCCACCTTGCCATTCCGCCTGTGGAGAGACGTGGCCTGTCGTCAGGTTCGGCTGCAGGCTCAGACGCCCCGCCCCAGCCTCAGTGCCGCCGTCCTGCGCATGCCCACCAGATGCACACGGTGTATTGCACTCTGGGCTCCTGCTCCTCCACCACCTTGGGCGCCTCCCGCCTGCGGCGGTCCCTCCGGCCCTCAAACAGCTGCAGGGGCGTCACAGGCTGCACGTGGGCACCTGGGTCATCCCTGGCCAGATGCTCGTCATACTCATAGTCCTTGTAGTCTTCGTTTGCTTCCACTACACAGGGAGCATTGTGAGGAGGGGCCAGGATGGTGGCTCGGCTGCCTGCGCCAGCCCCTGCCAGGCCCCGAGACCTCTCAGCCCCAACACTCACTCATGTACTCAACGTGGCCCTTGACTGTCACTTCAATCTGAAGGTCCTGGCAGGTCGTGTTCTTCATGTCCAGGACATTGTAGGTACGAAGAACCTGGCTCAGGAAGGGGCAGGGAGAGGACACAGGACATCTGGGGACACAGACCTCTTTCCAGTGCCACACCTGCGGGCATCTCCCTGAGCTAAGGGATTGAAGCCTTCAGCCCCTTCTCGTCCCCTCACTGGACAGTCCACACAT